AAAATTCGACGATGAGGTGTAGGACTCGGTAGCTCAATTGGTAGAGCAACAGCACGGAAAGCTGACGATGCCGGTTCAAGTCCTGCCCGAGTCGAAAATTTTTTCAATTTATTTTCGATTTTTAAATAATGAAGCTAAAACAAAAATAATTGCCAAAACATACACAATCGCTAAATACTAATATGTCAGACCCAAACGGGCTAGTTGGTGCAATAGTAGCGATCTATGGCTAATAAACAAAGGGTCGTAGGTAGGATCCAAACTAGGATTCTAATTAATTTATAATTTTTCTGAAATTTGATTCACATAAGAGACTAAATGTGTGGTAAGATATCGAATTTCCGTCCGGGTCACGGACCATTGACTAAAGAAAAAAAAGCCGTGAAGTTAATTTACCTCTCGATTTCAGTCTGTGGATTTCCGAATATTCAAAACCAAAATAGGTGACGCACATCTTGTTTAAATGTATTTCACCTACAATCAAATGAATCCCTCGTTTGTGGCCGACAAATCTATCATAATAAACACGATTCTTAACTTTAATATCGGATGTACAACAAATACTGCCTTCAATGCTCAGTACACGTTCAAAACACGTTGCTTAATGTTAATGTTGAATCCTGTCTGAAACTGTAAAGTTATGCAAAGCACATTCAAGAGAGGAACATACAAAAAAAATATTTCTGATTTCTAATTTTCGATAACACTCGTATCGACGAGTATTTATCCCTATAATATTTTTTTTAATAATAAACAGTTAATTAAGAAAATCGACTGAGATAGTTTGTTTTCAAATTTTATTTCGGAAGTTGAGGCTCTTTGCGGCCAAAAGAGCCCCACTCTTATGCCTTTAAACCTCCAAATCTGACCCTGCCCATAGAAGAAAATTAGATTTCACTTTTCCCTAAAATAAGGCTGAATGAAAGAGGTTTCACTTCATTACAAAGCGAGGAATACAATAAGTATTCCTATTATATTATTATCACGTTTTTCTTAAACAAAACGAAAGATCTTTATTGATTTAAATCACCGCAAATAGGCTAACAAAGAAGTGAAACTGACTAATTGATCACGTCTTGCTTTCCTTTTTTACATTTTTCACAACATCATTTACAAGATTTAGAGAATAGAATCTATGAGTTCTTATGCTTTACAGCTAAGCAGATGTGCAAGCGCTAGCTATTAGAGTAAAAAAAAGATAAAAGTAGAATAATTCTATAGCAAAACCGTTTTAAACAGAAGCCGGTCACACTTGTTAGTTTAATCTCAAAATAACCCATAGTTATTTCACGTTTATACGAGAAAGACGTTCACCTACTTTGAAGAATAATTCATACAATAATACAAGTACCGGCTTAGAGTACTTGACAGGTTTTAAATATTATAAGCAGGAAGTCAAATCGGCAGTTCTTTTTGATAAATTAACAACAAATATGTATGTTAAATGTAAGCAAAGCTTAATTGAGTAATGTCTGTAGTTAACGCGAGTAATACATAAATCACTTTTAACGGTTTCAAACGCGAGTTTTATTTAACTGAGCTGTAAATAAGTATATATTTTATTGAATGAAAAATTGTTTATGTTAATTCAATGTAAACTAAATGTCTTCATCTTGACGAAATGTTCTAGGATACTTTTTCGTTTTTTTACCATTTATATTTTCATATTTTTATCGTAAATGTCAATAACGAAGAAGTTAAAAAAGTAATAATCACGTATGTTAAAATTAAAATAAATTTGTTTACGCTATTAGTTAATAATAGCACTACAATGCCGTCTACATTTATTATTTACTTAAAATGAAAATTCTCAATTATGTTTGTTCTTGAAGTATCTATAAATAAACTATTTTTCATGCAAATTCTCGCAACACGCCATGATCAAATAGGCTAACAAGTTTTTACTAAAAGCACAATGTCTAACGCTCTATTAAATACTAACGGTTAAAATATATCGATATGTCTACTACATCCGTAGTCTAATCAATGGTTAAGCATGTGGCGTTAAACACGAGAGTACCTGGGTTCGAATCTTAGGGTATAAATACATTGACAATATCGGTCACTTGACTTGACTTGAAACAGACATAGTAATATGTTTGCCCCATGTCCCAGATGGGGAAACAGGATTTCTCTTTTATATATCGATGAATCATAGATCCTGCTTCTTTTTTTTTAATACTTAAATTTATGCTTTAAAAATTGGTTTAATTAAAAAAAACTCACCGCTCATGCTCCTTCGGCTTCTACGCAAAGACATGATCACAAAATAAGGCTGAGTATACACGCTCGCATCACTATCACAACACTTGTTTCACTTGCGCGCGCGCAGGCCGCGATGCAAACTAACGTCTGATCAATTCCACTCTGATTCAGCAACACTGGGGTGGGAAAAGTAATATGGAAATTCGATTTTGTTGCCGTTTTAATGGCGAGCGAATAAGGATGCAAACGTTGATTATTATTAACGATAGACGCAGTTATCTCTTCATGGATTGTTTTCTAATACAAGGTGGTGATTTAGATAAAAACTCTATTGTTTAAGTTTAAAATGAGACAGTATAAAAGTAACTAAATATTTTGATTGTTGCTATCAAAAAGTATGTAAGTAAGCTTAGATGTATTTTTGTCAATGTGTACAGAACTGGAACCTACAGCCAAAATCCTCCTGCTTTTACCATAACCTATTAATTTAAATTTACGATTTTAACGGTTTAAAACGCGATATATTAGTTAAACTTATTTGAAAATGATTTTTAACTTCGGCCCGACGTTTCGGTTGCTTTGCAGCAGTCTCCCCGTGACCACGGCTGCTTTAAAGTGTTTTATTTGATTGATCTTTATAAAATGCTTATTTATTTAAACTCTATTTAAAATTACTTAGTTAGTGTCAATACTTTGGATTATTGTATTTTAATGAGCGATACGTACTTTCTTAGAATGTTGAAACTGTTTTTGAGTTAATGTTATTTTTTGAACCCTATGTGAAGCAGGTTATATTTTTTCTACTTGCTCATCATTATGCATCTAACAATTTAATGTCGACCAAGCCCTTCGAATAGAAATGCCCATGGATCGACAACACATAAGTTATATCTAATACTTTCATAATGATTTCTATTCAAGACGTGCTCCCGAACGCAATATACACTTTATAATTTCTCCCGACACCTTGAATGTAAAGCATGGAAAGTAAATGTATTTGGGCGGTCGATAAAATAGAAAGTGTAATTAAATTATGTATGCAAGTTATTGTTTTCCATGCTGGGAAACTTACATAAGCGTTGAGTAAAAAGTTAGGTCCTCATAAGACCGGATAGACAAACACTTAGCACGTACTGATCTGTATTTTACGCTAGTAGTGCACATTTAAACAATAACACGAACGGTTTATAACCCTATAAATAACGGGTTTATAACCTACAACAACACGTTCCTCTCCAACAGCACGGAACGCTGACGATGCCGATTCAAGTCCTGTCCGAGTCGAATTTTTTTTTCAATTACTTTCGATTTTTTAATTATATAGTGCCATTATGTGCAATAACATGTGGAAAATATTAAAGTTTTCAAACGCGATATATATTAGTTATAATCTTATTTATAAAATATCACTTCAGCTCGAAGTCTGTGATATCTTAAGTTTAAAACGCCAAACATTTTAATTAATTCATCATTGATCATAAAATTCAAACTGTTTATCTAACTTTAACCAAAATATTACATATAGCGATACTAAGTAAACCCGTGTATTTTTACGTAAAACCAATTACAAAACGCCGAATCGTTTACGTGCTTTAGGAATCGGCGTTACATTGGGTATTCATAACACGGGGAAATGTGAAAAGTGATTTTCCTAACATTATTTCAATTATCCAATCTTCACCGGAAGTTTCCTTACGTTATATTAATTACGTTGTTTTACAAGATATTATGTATAACATCGTTGTTCGTTTTTCTGGGGATTCCGTAATACACGACACAACTTTTATTTTTCACATGTTATTGCACATGTTGACATTATATAAATTAAAAGTCGTTTTTAGATTGAATTACATTGCGAGAAGTACATGTATTATAAGTTGAAAAATTAGACGATGACGTGTAGGACACGGTAGCCTAATTGGTTAGGGCAACAGCACGGAACGCTGTGGATAGCATTTCGCGTCGTACATTTTTTTCAATCTAAAAACGATTTTTAATTTAGTTACTCTAAAGTGGGGTGGCGCTCCTATGAAAGTTGTTTCCAAAACATTATCACTCCAAGGAAGATGGGCCCAACATGTTTCCAAAATAATTTACGTCCGGGTCACGAACCATGGTCCATGGTGAAAAAGCCGTGAAGATTGCCTCTAGGTTTTAGTCTATGGATTTCCGAATAACCAAAGCCAAAATAAATCGATCACCCATTTAAATAAAACACTTTAACGGTTTAAAACGCGATATAGTAGTTAAACTTATTTGAAGATCTCTCCCCGTGACCACGGCTTATGCAAAGCATCCGAAACGTCGGGCCGAAGTTCAAACTCATTTTCAAATAAGTTTAACTGATATATCGCGTTTTAAAGCGTTAAAGTGTTTTATTTAAATGTGTACTACTCGCGTAAACTATAGACAGTATACGATAGCGCATGTTTAGATGTTATATAGCTACTTTTACATCGTCTATCAAATGATCAAGGGTTGCCTGGAAGAGATCGCTCTATAGCGATAAGGCCGCCCATTGCACTCTAGCTGGCGAGACTAATGTATCTTTTAAAATTGTTTTATTAGAATTTTCTATGAGGAAACATGTATATATACCTTGTGTTTATCTGTGTTGCAATGAAGAATTAAATAAATAAACCACATGCTTCTCCTTTATCATTAAAAATATATTTAAAAAAATAGATTTCTTTTTTCAGAACGCCGCTATAAAAAAAAAAGTTATAACAAAAAAAAATTGGAAATTTTTGGAAGTAATTTATTGAGATACAACGCCTATGGATATGTGGAAAAAATTATTTTCTCCCAGAACATTCGTCCAGGATCTCTTCAACGACCATCGCCGCGTCCTGGTGTTCCACCAACGACTTCTTCAGGATCAACATAGTACGGCCTATCATACCGTTCTTCGAGATAACTCTACGTTCGCCTCTATTGAGCTGAATTGTAACCTTCAATAGCTTTAACCAAAGTTCTAGAAAGTCAAAGAACTCGGTCGCCTTTTCCTGGGTTATTTGAAACCTTATGAGGGTGTGAAACCAGGGTTGGCACGACAGTAGCGCGACTAACTTCGCATCACGTTTATGCTTAGTTAAGTGTTCGAAGATGGTGCGTAACGTTTGCCATCCTGTTGACGTGCGATTTGATGAATCCTGAACGATTGTAAAAAATTGTGTTAGTAGTTAAAAATCTTTTTAGGTTGAAAAATATTGACACAGGCGGGCTTTGAACCGGCATCCGCAGGGATCTTGCCGGTCTAAGCCCGCCTGAGTTACCGGTGTGGATACCGATTTAAGTCGTAATGATTTTTTTTTCAATTTTAATAGATTTGTAATAAATAGTACGCCATCATGTCTAAATATTGTGGAAAAAGGTTGTACTGTGTTGCTCATGTCAACTGAGATACCGTGCTGTACAACTAACCCACCACACTGCTTCAATGTAGGCGAGCGTGCATAGTATACTCTCTCATTTCCTCCTTCCAACTTTTTTGCCCCAGCCGGGATTCGAATCCTAAATCTTGTATTCCAACCACTAGTCCGAGGAAGTTACTTAGCCAGACTTTTATTTTATAATTATTTTGTGACCACTTCTGTAGCTCAATAGCTGCCTTTTTCAAACCTCTCGAGCTTAACGTAATAGACGTTAAGCACGAGAGGTCCTGAGTTTGAATCCCTGGGAAACATTATTTTCGATACCGCCCATATAATAAATAAGTAAAATATTTATACATTTCAAGACGAGTTCTACATGTTTGATAAACAGTTTGAAAAACTTTTTAGTTTCAAAAAATTACCCCAGAACAGAGTGATATTTGAATTCGAAACATTAACGCCCTCAGCGCATTGCATTGCTGCTCCTGCGCAGGACCGTTCTGCAGACTGTCCGATAAAACCAGCGGTGTATTGCAACCAGATTTTAGCACTGTATCTATTAGTTGTAGTAGGGAATTGGTTCTGACACTCGTGTTGTCCTTACGTAAAGATTTAACTAGATAGTCAGTTCTTATCGCTAGATGGGATTTGGGCTGGAATAAAACGGTTTTAACGTGAAAAATATATTTTAAGAATTGTGTTTAGTTTATCGGAGTGGTATATTTAAATAAAACATTTTTAACGGTTAAAAACGTGAAATATGTTAGTTGACTCATTTTAACAACGGTCAAACATACAATAAAGTAACTAACATAGTGCGTGTTTAGACCGTTCAAAGTATTTTATTTAAACAATATTTTTTGTATATTAATATTTTTTTACCGCCTCTGTAGCTAAATGGTTAAACGTATTGCCTAGCATTGCGTTAAGCGCGAGAGGTCCTGGGTTCGAATCACAAGGAAACAAAAAAAATTTGGTCAGACAGGGCACAGAAGTCTGATCAACTACTTGTCTGTTAAAGAACGGATCAGTGAAACGGACAGAAAAATGTGTTTATGCCCCATGAGGGGCGACGGGATTTCACACACACAAAAAATATTTTTTTTAATTAAAAAGGCTAGTTAACGGATGCTATAATATGTGTCTGACTTACGTTTAAAGTGTTATATCTATATTGTTTACCACTTTAAGCTGTTCAATTTTTCAAATATAATAATAATCTAGAGGTAATCTTACTCGATAGCCATTCTTGTGGTAGTAGCAAACCAAAAACGATAGAAGATCCAACGCTGCGCAGGCGACGTTTTCGTCATTACTATCAATTGTTGAAAGTACGTTTGCCAAATAGATTGGTTTATTCGTGAATATTAGTAACACTATAAAAAGATATATTCTTTTTACAGTTTAAAAAATTATATACCCTTAATTAATTGTTCTTACAGCGCCTCTATCGGAGTCATAAGGAACTAGGAATTGAGCAAACTCCGGAAAGAATTACTCAATATTGATCATAAATTAAAAAATAAATGTTTTTGAAACTAAGACAATCTATTACACTTTTTACGGGCGAGTTGGCCATATGTGTAGAGGAAAACTAGATTTTAGGATAGATTTGACAATCAAACTATTGACTTTTATATAGAGGCATGATGGAATTGATGGAAGGCGAAATAGCCTAGCCATATAACATCTTAACTAGTTGCGCTATCTAAATAAAACACTTCAACGGTTTAAAACGCGATATATTAGTTAAAACTTATTTGAAAATGATTTTTAACTTCGACCCGACGTTTCGGATGCTTTGCAGCAGCCGTGGTCACGGGGAGACATCCGAAACGTCGGGCCGAAGTTAAAAATCATTTCCAAACAAGTTTAACTAATATATCGCGTTTTAAACCGTTAAAGTGTTTTATTTAAATGTGTACTACTCGCGTAAACTATAGACAGTATTAAGTTGCGCTATCGATCTATTTGGGTTTGGATATTTGGAAATATTTTTTTTATTAATTTATTTTTATTTATTATTGCTTTATTATTTATAAAACACACCACAGAAATACTGAACTTAAACTTAAAAGGTTCTTCATCTGCGGACGGAATTCCGGTAATCCTACCAGAGTTTCAGACGAAGTCCAACATGTTTCAGAAAAAATAAAAATAGATTATAGACTTGATGAAAGTGGTGGGGATCGAATTTATAAACCGTTGATTATTACAATTTATATTGCATATGTTTTGTGTATTTTTGAATATCCAAAGGGACCAAAAAAAGACCCAGTAGTTCCTGAGATTTGGCGTTCAAACAAACAACCTCTGCAGCTTTATAATATTAGTATAAAAATTACCTTTGGAGTCATGTCTGTCGCAAGAAAATTGCAGAAGCATTAAGCTTAAGCTCAAACAAACGTATTGATAATGGTATTTGGCTTCAAAGTTTGTGAAATCGTCTGTGTTCTTAGAGTACAAGGTGGTTAGGAGAAATGCAGTTTTATCACAAGTGTCCTTATCGAAATCGACTGGTGGCAACGATATGGCAACATCTAGTATGTGACACACGTTGATGTCTGAAATGTTTGAGAATCGTTGTGTTGCGGTTCGAAGCCAGGAGAAATCATTATTTCTGATAAGCGAGGCACATATGATCATCTTCCGTATAATTTTTATTTTGTTTAGATGCTAAATGGAGTGGAGTGTTTCACCTTCCATCAAGCAAACTTCAGACTTGGTTGTACTCTGACATAAACAATCTCTTAAATTTTATCATTTGAAATGGTTTTAAGTAACCTGTAAAGCGACAGTTTAGTATTTAAATAAAACACTTTTTACAGTTTAAAACGCGAAATATGGATGTGTTTCGCTTTAATTATTTTTTTATTTGCTTGACAGGGGAGAACAGAAAAGCCTCGAGGTCATATTATGTAACATCTAAGAAATGTTTTGAATATTATTTAAGCCGAAAATTAAGACAATAATGCAGAACAAAGCACGGCTTTTTCATCTCTGGACGATGATTAGCGTCCTGGACGGAATTTTTATATTCCTACCACCCATTTAATTTCAAGATGTCCAGAAGAAGTCCAATATGTTTTAGAAAAATTATACATTGATTAAAAATGGACTTGGTGGGGATCCATCCCACGACCCGTTCACTATATACGACTAGATCAACGAGAATTACAATATACAAAAACTTACCGATTCCAATTTCAGAATCAACAAGGCTCCTAGATAAGATCTTAGGCAACAATAACCAAACGCGATCACCGAAGTTCCTTTTAACATCATCACCTCCATCTTCCATGCAAGATGATAGACCTTTCATACAATTCGATACTACGTCTGCATCTTTGACCTGCATCACCACATCTAGAAGTAGTTCCCATACTAGTGGTTCGTTGGTGAAGCCTTCAGGTAAGACGGTCTCCGTTTTGAACCATTGTGATAGCTAGGAATATTGTGTAGTTGGTTAAGATTTGAATTATGACGTCATTATCATTTTTGAAAAGCGTGTAGTAATTTTTTTTTTGAAAAATTACAATTAAAAAAAATGTGAAATTAAAAAAATAACGCCGCGGACGCGAAATGAACCGGCTGACGTCAAAAATGTAATAAGAAGATGAATAAAAAATAAACCGGTCCAGTGCGAGTCGGATTTATGCGGAGGGTTCCGTACCAAAAACTGTCTGATATTATCTCGTTTAAATGCTCAATGGCTGGGTTATTTCTAGTTAATATATGAGCATTAACTGTGTGAAGTCCCGTTACCCCTCGTGGGGCATGGGGCGAAAGTATCTCTGTGTCTGATTCGCTCATGGGGTCTCCTATAGTAGTTGATAAGACTTTGTGCCTTTCTGATTCGAAACAATCTATTGTTTCCCCAGGATACGAAACCAGGGCGCTGAACTTAATGCTATACTAGGCAACACGTTTAACCATTTAGTTAAAGAGGCGGTGAGTCAATGTTGTATGAGAGAACATTTTATTGACATACCACTAACAATCTCATAGAATTGGGTATTCTCGAAGAGGTGAACGCCCAGAACAAAATAGCTGGATTGTGCGTGTAGTATACAGCTGGTTCCGGTTGAAGCATGGAGACGAGGCGATCAGACGCCTTCTCCAAGTATACCCTTTCATCTAACGAGTCCAGGGAACCGTTCGATATAGTTGACATCTGTATATTATGAAGAATATAGTGATATCCCGTTCCTCCGAACACATTTCTGTGTCCGTTTTACTCGTTCTCGTTCTTTTAATATTATATATAATAATTTTACTGATATATTTCATGTTTAAACCCGTGAAAAGTGTTTTTAATGCCTCTACTTCTTGCTCTCTCTCTCTCTCTCTCAGATCGAAACAATGTTATTTTTCCTTAGGATTTGAACCCAGGACCCTAAAACTCGAGGGTTGTGAAATTAAAAGATAAATCATTTAGGCGAAGTAATGACAATTATTACATAATGAAATTATGTTGAGATAGAACTTACCGCGAACACCAGCCATAAAGCCTTTATTATATAAGATGGCGGCTTTAATTGTATTGGCAGACACAGAATATGTTGTACTAGATGCGGCAATAAGTGTGACGTCACTTCTTCCGGGCTAAAAGAATTAAATGGCTTATTTTTAGTTTATTTTGACACTACACTATGTATTCTAGATTAAATACTGTCTGTAGTTTTCGCGAGTAGTACAGATTTAAATAAAACACTGTAACGGTTTAAAACGCGATATATCTGAGTTAAACTTCCTAGGTCGCCGCGCCAAGCATCCGAAGCGTCGGATTGTAGTTATACGTTTCCAAATAATATTTAACTAATATATATCGCGTTTTAAACCGTTGAAGTGTTTTATTTGAAAAATAAACATTATTAAGTTATGTGTCGAAATCAATATTTTCTTTTTTTGGTCGCAGTAGTCCAAAAAAAGCAAACACACAGTTGTTTACAGTTGTGGGTACACTAATACTTAAAAAAAAAATGTTTTATTTTCGAAAATGATTTGACAGATTTGTGCATACATTGTTAACAAAGACAGACACATAAGAAGTCTGGTTTTGTCTATATTTTATTAGTTATGTTTATGTATGTATGAAATTACTTGTCTGTGGCCTGGCAGTAGAAGTAAATATAAATCAATATGCTATAGGGTTGATTCTTCTGCAACTGCATTCCGATATTCTGAGGACTCTCCACGCCGTTCTGAAGTTCCATCAGACCCATCTAAAAGGTATTTTACAATATGAAAACGACAACAAACAGTCAAAGTCCTATCGTCCCCTAGCGGACGGACGCATTTCTATGCTCGTTTTATTAAATAATCTTATTAACAGGCAAGTAGTGGATCAGACTTATTATTTGCTAGAGATTCGAACTCTGGACCTTTAGTACTTAATACTGAGCAAAACCAACTGACCTACGTCTGCTTAAGCTGGTCGTGATAACTTTATTATAAACTTTTATATAAAATAAGCTATGCCAGCGAGTTCTTGCAAATTAATATTCGCAGCGAGATGTTTTAGCCTTAGGCGTTCCTCGCTAATTGCTCTAAGCAGCACAAAAAAAATGTTTCAATTCGAACCAGTAGTTCCTGAGAACGCGATAAGCAAACAAACAAACCAACTTTTATTAGTATAGATGACAAACGGAAATTCACACGGTTAAAAATGTTCAAGATTTAACCTAGAAACGTCTTTAAATATAGTTCTTCCTGTTCAACTTGGAAACATTAAATTTGATTACTTTCAAATTGTACTTAGTTTTTTGATAAATTTTAAATTAACTTTCGCTTATTCGGAAGTGTACAATTAACTGAACTGATGCGAATATCCTTCCGAGATTATGTATTGGTATAAAATAAAGCTTCTTTGTCTTGGCTTAGAAGTAGAAGATTTATAGATCAAGGATAAATTCTAATTTACTCATATTAAAATCTCAATATTATATATATAAAAGCTAAAATCATTGATTTTTCGTGAAGTTTTTCCAATTCATGATATGTATATCTTCAACTTGTAACCGTACTCGGTTTACAATTTAAATTGTATACCGAGTACGGAAAATTCATTTCAGAAATAAACAGTTTTTTTTAAGACATACAGATTTTAAAATTTAAGGACAGTCAAGCACGGGGTTCATATAATTCAAATATCGGCACCACATCTAATTATGTGCACTCGACCTATTTAGTCTTTGGACATTTGGAAAAAAAATAAACTGAAACACCAAAACTTCTATAAATATACGTACATGAACATCTTTAGCGCTTATTTCTTTACAACCGGAATTTTCCACTAGTAAATATTTCTCCGATAGAATTTTCAACATTTCTCCTAAGACTAATGTGCTTACTTTACGTAGTGACGCGTCTCTTCTGCAAAGATTAAAACTAAGTGGTTACGTAGAAAGAAGAGGAAATAATACTCCTTTTTTACTTATAATTAAAGATAGTATAGTGTAATATTAAAGTCCCACCGTTGACAAAAGATATCCCTACAAAAAGTAACGGTCAAAGATGCGCTCAAGTGTGGGTAGGTAAACTTTAATAACTACCGCCGCTTATGGCAGCTTATACCGCCACGATGTTACTGCCGTGCTTCAGTGTGTAGTTGACGCATGGAAGCACTACAGTAATATCTACCACTTTCTGGGCTAGCACTGGACACTAAATTCATTTAAAAATATTCAAAAAAGAAATTCATATTTTTCAAACGTTGGAATTCTGAACTTGCAGTTCAGATATTTACAGTCATTAAACGTAATAAAAGATTACTCGAATCGCATACTACTTTTAGTACCTACCGTTCAAGTTGAGCTTTCGGCAGAATTGCCAAGTATCCATTTGAAAGCAGTACCTCGCTGAACTCTAAAAGTACCTCCGTACTTGCTTCGTAATAAAAATTGAGAACCAATTTTACAAAACCGCTGTACTCCACCGTTCCGATCGTTTCCAAGTTGTCCTAGAAATTGGGAAAGGTATCTTACACTGACAGCACACATTAAAAAAAATTAACGGTTTAAAACGCGATATATTAGTTAAACTTATTTGAAAATGATTTTTAACTTCGACCCGACGCTTCGGACGCTTTTCAGCCGTGGTCACGGGGAGGCCGCATTAAAAATTTAAAATCATTTTCAAATAAGTTTAACTACTATATCGCGTTTTAAACAGTCAACGTGTTGTATTTAAAAGGACCAACAGATATTTAAAAAGATGCACCGAAAAAACACAGCGATGACGTCGATTTAAAGACAGTCTTATTTTTTGGGACAGAGGACGACAGACAAGCATGGGCTTTACTCGATGATCACAGATATCTTAACAAAATGCACTATCGAACTATTTCCAGTTCGGACATTCAGAAATTAAAAGAATGAAACCGAGATGCGATTTAATTTGACGCCTTTTTATATCATGCGTGATCCGGGCGGAATTCCGAAATCCCTACAACCCATTCCATATACAGATATTCCAGATGAAGTCCATCGTGTGTTTGAAAAATTATGAATTGTTCAGAAACTAGGTGGACCCCGGTCTACCTAATCCTAAGCCTCAAGATAGAATCGGGTCCTCATCCCCTCTTTTAGCATACTTTGAATTAAATGAATCTCCAAAGTTATAAAAAGCATCAAGAACGTTAAAAAATCCTTTTTATACGCGTCTAACTTCTCAAAGATAAAGTTAGAGGGACCCTAAGTTCCGGGGGCCTGGTGTCCTGCACCACCTGGCCCTACGATAGCTACGCCACTGCCTGTCGATTGTTAGACGTACATTGCTATAATTAGACCAACCAGCCTGTCAAACCAACTTTCATCATATTATGCTTAGTTATGTTAACAAAATAGATTACTAAGGGTATTATTTTTTAATAGGGTTAATTCCTCAGTATTTACAGCAATAGTTCTTGCAATAGCGGCAACAGAAAATCTCAATTTTTGAAAATTCCAAAACTAGCTCCTATGCGGTTGATAGACAAACAGATAGCGAAATCTTGGTGGGGTTCCGTTTTGACCCCTTGCGCACTGAACCCTCATGTTATATTTGTAGCCATTAATAAAATAAGACTTAATAATATAAGATTTTTTAAAACTTTGCTGCAGCTCACCTTTACAAACCCAACCATTTCAGTTAGCACTTGGTGTATGTATTTTCTCATAGCATTAGCGCATTCTCTCAAGCTATCAACCTCTTTGTTGTCAGCTAGGATTTTGTTAACGAAATCTGCTGGAGGTCGTGCTTGCTCGAATATTTTTATAAGGCTACGAAATATGATTGCGCTTGAGAATTCCTGGATTTTATTACATATACTAACACTTTTACAGGAATACTCATATCTAAAGGAGGTCTTTTAGTAAGTATTTGAATGTGAGATCCTAGATCCTAACCTAAATGTTCTGACTTCTGACGTTAACCATATCCAACTGTCTATGAGTCTTTGAGAACTGAGAGTGTTCCAATAAGAATCCTACCCTAACCTAAGAAGGTAAGAGGAAGACCTCCTCATAGAATTTTTCGGTTATAGTTACTTAGGCACACATTTTTGTTAAATTAACTGAGAACTTATAAGCTTTCGTCGCATTTATTTTTAAACGGTTTTATTTAGTAGGAAACAAAATTTATTTATTTGGGTCAAAATTAGAAATTGAAATTTAAACACCTTCCCGTTGTCAGATTGATCTGAAATTTGGTACACACATTTAATTTAGATGACAATACTATATAATAAAATGAATAACACTATAAATGTAAGATGGCCGCCGATACAAAATGGCGGATTACATATTTTTCCTTAACCCCCTCAATATGGGTATCAAATGAAAGGGCTACACTAGTAAAACACGATGGTTATGTTAAAATTTAAAATATTTGTAATTTTCAGTGCACAAAAAATAAAACCGTTTAAGTTAAAAGCTTTTTTAAGTTAATACTTGTTTAATTTAAAGATCGAAAATAAATAAAAAAAAATTTTCGACTCGGGCAGGAAATTGAAAAAAAAAATTTTTTTTCAATTTATTTTCGATCTTTATATTATATAGTGCCTTCATGTGCAATAACATGTGAAAAATATTAATGTTTTGATACTTGTTTAATTTATTCAAATGACGTTTAACATAAGTATACATCATTGCAACTTATATTGATGAATCGACACTTTAAAGTATTTTTATGTAGTTTCTGCTATATTTTTATAGGTTTACCTATCGTTAATTTGTTACTATACGTCTATAGCTATGGGATCTTAGGCTTCTTACCCCAAAGAATCCATAATAATCTGACAGGTAACAATAAGTAGCATTCCAATCTCATCCCCTTCCGCAGTCAGACCTTTATGATTCAGCCCCATCATTAACAATTCCAGCCATTTTTTTATAACATCTACCAAGCTCTGTGCGACACAACTCGTTACAATTAAACCTTCTGGTTGATACGAGATCAACTCCTGCAGTACCAAAGCGCTGGATAAAATGCTTTTCGAGTTAGATATTGTGTTTATACGGGTAGCAATGTTTGTGAAAGAAGCTAGGAGTTGTTCAGTGCTGTAAGCGCTTTGGTGTGAAAGCGGAGACGTGGTCTTATTTGTACTTATCCTGAAATTTCAGAGGGCGTTAGTTGTTGTTTTTGACGGACGCGTTGGTAAAATGTGTCACACATTTAACGGGTTGTGGATTCGAATCCAGCTGAGTCCAACAAGTAATTAAAAATCAGTTCATTTTTTAACATGTATGTGTCTGGCAATACTAGATTTTAAATGTGTGTAATATTAAAATTCCGTTGAAGTACAGAACCAGAAACAATTCACAGATAGAATGGAGTTTAATAGTTGGTTTCAGCCTGTAGATTTCTGAATATCTTACGCCAAAATACAGATCGTTTTGTTTAGATATGTGAGGACATTATTTTTATTTCCAATTTAAATTTGTTTTGTTGCAGCTCGACAATCGTTTATGGACGGTAGGTATTCGAACCCAGAACACTCAGGCTGATCAATCGTGTCTTACGTTAAGTATTGTTTGTAGTACGAGATGAGTAAACATTTAAATAAAGGAGGTGGTCAGTCCCCCCGTGGCCGGGACTGCTACAAAACATCCGAAACGTCGGGTGTAGTACAGAAATTGTAAATGATTAATACATTATGGACCGCCTCTGTAGCCACGTGCTTAAACGTATTGTCTAGCATTGTGTTATGCGTGAGAGGTCCTGGGTTCGAATCCCAGGGGAACAAAAAAAAAGTTGTTTCGGTCGGGTAGGCACTGACATCTGATCAACTACTTGCCTGTTAAATAGAACGGATCAGTGAAACGGACATAGAAATATGTTCGCCCCACGCTCCACGAGGGGGAAATGTGATTTTACACAATACATTTTGCGTTTAATGCCATTAAAAGTGATTTATTTAAACGTGTCTTAAATTTTATTTTATTGGAATAATTGCGTGTATAGAGTAATATTTTATTTCAGCATATTTCGATCCTAGTGGTTATCTATTAAGTCAACGTGTTATTCATTTACATACCCGCTAAGCAGATCACAAATAAAGTGGAGGCACACGTCCAGAGCGCAGGGATTGATTGCAATGAAGTGGTTTATAGCACGTACTACGGCTGATAGAGAATGTGAAGCGTGTTCCTCCGCGAAGAATCGAGGAGTACACCACACAAGGCGTATACAACGTAGCACTAACCTGTGGATTACTACATATTATCTACTTATGTAATGTATCTGTTTATGAAATAAATAAAAATTAGTCGCTTATTAATTATATCACACTGGGGCGTGCAGTAAAAGTATATAAATTGCAAGTGGAATATTTGGTTTTGTGCTTAATTTTATTATCATGTTATTTCTTTACTCATATGGACAAAAATGGCTGCACGTGTATATTTGAGTCATGTTTAACTTAGCATGAGTCGTGAAAATACAAAATAAATAAGTTATCTAAATGAGTGACAAAAACATTAATGATATTTAACTAGCCTTTGTAAATGTTGGATAAACGATGAACTCACCTAAATAAATTGAAATCCAAATTACACGTAACTTCACCTAAGAATACTATAATATCGTTATCAAGCAAATATTGGGCTAAACGATTTCGTTCCTCCGAATCTTTTTCATAACGGCTAATCACATCTATTAAATAAGTACACGCTTTTGACTGAGCAGCAGTATCCCGTGACGTCAAAAGCCTTTTTATATCGCACAACGCATTTTGTTCTCCGCTTGGGTTGTATGTTCGGTTGAAGTTAGAGTTAATTAAACTTTTATACATTATGAATTATTCCTGTTAAATTAAGTTCAATAAAATTTACGAGATGTATAAAAGTTAATTTACTATCTCAAAGCTGCATTCAAGTAATATTTTATAAGATATATTTTCCCGCCAAATAACTTGTTTTTAAAACTACAGACCTATGACAAAATCATAATATGTTTACCTATAATATATTACAGATAGCTATAATTTTTAAAATATAGTTTAAATAGAACAGTTTTCTGTTTGAATGATATTATCTGGAACAGGTCTAGATCAAATGTCAAAAATCAATGTGTCAATTGCCAAGCACATCTGTGTCGTTCTTACTGGATGTTGTGTAAATTTTAATTTTTATATCGCTTTATCTTTAAATATTTATTGATTACTGTTGAAAATAGCAGGTTTTATATACGGGTACTAATAAATTAGGATTAAAATGGTTAGTATCTCATTACTGGATATTGAAACGCTAGTGTTCCGAGTGTGGTGCATGCTCCATCAACGTTGGTGATCACATTATTATTCCTATTGCAGTCGGTGATTGAATTTTTGAAGGACCTGCCCTCCTACGACGAGCACAATTTCACTTTATTCAACACGGACCACGGAATCAGAAACTGTTCTAAGAGGCCTTCAATATACCTTCCCACTAAAGATATAGATATACCTTCTGAACAAAGTTGAGTAAATAGTTCCTACAAGTGTCAAAGTTCATGTTAATTACGATGTCATTAAGTTACGACACCCAAATCTAGAGAATGCTTAACCTCAGTTTCATAGTTTTACTTATGTTTGTTAAAATAAGTGTAATTATGAATTATTATTGCTTTTATGATTTTTGTAAGTTTTAAATGAATTCTTGTGTTCATTAAGATTTGTCCAATTAGTTAAAATTATTGTATGACTTTAAGTTCTGCTTTTCCCTGTTCTATCAAAATGTTTTTTTTTTCCAGTTATTGTAACAGAAAAGACAAACATATTACTAAGATACCTGCATCAACAATGGGAGAAAAAGGTATTTTTTGTATAATATATGTAATGTACGTCTTATTTAAAAAAGGGGGGTTATAAATAAAAATATTAATGGTAATTTTTTGTTTTCAGAACAACAGTACATCCCCAAAGAAAAGGGATCTTAGCAGTATTGAACAAAACGGTGATGAGAGAAACTCTCGCAAAAGACCCCGTCTCAATTCTCCGCTAAACTGAAAATACTTTTTACCTTTAACTATATTTATCACACACACAACACATATTATTTATAGCAATTTTATAATAATAATTTTCTATCATATTCGGTCCAGTCATACTTTGATATTAGAAACACATTGGTTTTTTGTTTTCTGGGAAACAGTAATGTTATAGTTCCAAATAATAAACACTAATTTTAATATATTCATTCCAAATGTATTGTGAGGTGTCATAGAGTTAGTATTTGTGAATGCTGCTAGGAAACTACCGAGAAAATGTGTTCAATTACTGCATCAGTAAATTCTCTTAGTATTGATAAATAGAATGGATGACTAACGATTCTCTAATTTTATATAAGACCCATATATAGCTATATAAGACCCACTATTTTGTTAAAAGCTTGTAGTTTAAGAAGTTACTTTTATATGTCAGTTTGATTTTTATTTGTTTAGCAGGTCTTTGACTCTTAGCAATGAACAAATAATAATACTGAGCAATATTTATAAACTTTAATTATGTCATGTTAGGCCTAGGAATGTAAAATTCTTAAACACAGCATAAAATTAATGCATTTTGTTTTGTTAACATCATGCTTTTTACTAAATATAATTGATATTTCATACTTTATCATTTTATTATGCTTCCCAATTTATAAGACCAATTGACACAAATAATGGTGAATTTAGTAGTTTAATACATGATTCAATTAAGATATTTGTACATTAAAACATTATTACCCAATTGGCCCAACTTTATAGACATAGAAGCGAAAAAAAAACAAACATGTTAAAATGAAAATAACTTTATTCTAATCATTATTCTTAATTCAGAATTTGCAGATTTCTGCAATATTTAAAAAAAACTGTAGCAGATATTCTAGTGGAATTTATCTTAATATTATTTATTATAATAGTATTTTGCTTATCAACCTAAACACCAAGTTGCTAGTTTAAATTTACTAGAAGCATTAAAAAGTGTAAAAGTCAAATGTGTATTCTCCATACACTCTCTTAATAAAAAATGAACATGAAATTTCATAACAGTAGTAAAAAAATGCTTTCTTTGAAATTCCAGTACTTAATTATTAAAATAATAATCAGTATCTTCCAGTTATAATCTAATCTTTTGCTGGTACTTCGATAACTCGGGGCTTGTCAATGATTCTTGCAGTACGGTTGCCCTTCTCCACAATACCAATAATCCATGCCTGGTAACCCTCCTGTTTCTCAATATCTTTACAGTAAGCAGCTGCTTGTTCTCGGGGCAAACAGATGAGAAGCCCTCCAGATGTTTCAGGTGCATGGCCTTGTAGTAACTGGAACATATTACCACAAGCTTTAGCTACTGCTGCCATTTTAGCAATCACTGGTAGATTGTGGATAACAAATGACACTTCATTCTTTTGATGTGATGCAAGATTCTGAGCATGGCCAAGTAGACCAAATCCAGTGACATCAGTAGAACCATGAGCATTGTATTTGTGCATGAGGCGAGCAGCAATTCTGTTCAATCTGCTCATTGAATCCATTGCCCGGTGGTAAGCTTTTCTAACATCCTCTTCTGATACAACAAGTTTAATTCTATTCCAGCGTTCTGGTTGGTCAAGCCATTGGTGTGCATTGACTGCCACTTGTGTTCCGAGGGGTTTGGTCAACACAAGTACATCGCCCATAACAGCATTGTCAGGGACAATATATTCATTAGGCTGACAAATAGTAGTAGCTACCCCTCCGATAGTACACCATGGATTAATAACAGTTTGGCCTCCAGTTACAGATGTGCCAGCTTCAAGGGCAGAATCCTTGAATCCACGCATAATTAAGGGGATCACGACATCACGCTCCTTCTCAGTCATTTTAGTTGAGACGCCCAATAACATAAGCATATTGTCACATTCAGTGACACCCATAGCGTACAAATCACTGAGTACGTTAGCACACGCTATTTTTCCCATCATGTAGGGATCGTCAACGAGGGGATAGAAGAAGTCTGTGGTTTGAACCAAGCAGAGTCCACCGTGGCGAAGCGGCGTAACGGAGCAATCTAAGCCGATGCCGATGCGTGGGATAGCGACATGCATAAATTGATCATCTTGTTGGGAATAGTCTTGCTGCAGCGACTCGACAAGTTTAGATAGCACATCTTGAGGTACTTTACAACTTCTTCCCTTGAGGTCGGCGAATCTTGTTAGTCGAAAACTGGCCTCCAAATCGTGAGCCACAGGGTCGAATGGTCGACGAAGCGCCAAAGAAGGGTTACCGGCCATTTCCAACTGTGCTGCAGCTAAGGAGTCTTGCGCCACACTCGACTGATATGACATTTTTAATAATAAAAACGCACTATATTTGTCTTGTTTCTACTAAATAATGCGAAATACCAAATCCCGACACGCCGCCAAGTGACGCTTGCAAAATGGCGTCTCCTTTACACTCGAAAAAGGAGGCACAAAATCAGACTCACAACATGTATTCCCATTGGTAGATATAAGATGTAAACAACGAAATCTAAACGTCGATTGGTCGAATTCAACGTGTATGTACACTAGTGACGATGAAGCAGACTTATTTTTTTGTACGTTTCCTCTTACGATAAAATGTTGGCGGTACAACCGAATGACTATAGCCTACCTAATAAAAATGCATTTTTTTACATTTTTCTGTTTTAAATTATATCAAACATAAGATTTTTCACTTAGTCACCACCTTTAAAGTCTTTAGATATTTCGTGTTATAGACCATTTTAAAGTAATATTCTCACGAGGACACTTTACAGTAATTCAAAATATTTTATTCAATTATTATCTTTTTTTTTTAATAAATCACGTAACAGTTAATTTTTTTAACCTTTTTACATATTCCTTGTACAGCATAGTGCGTATATAGAAACGAAATGTATTAATTAAGTTTCCATTGTCTATAGGTAGGTAACACTTGTTTCGACGGATTCTTGGCGGGAATTTGAAAAAGGGCGGTCGACTATTTTTCTTTAGCACAAATTAATTTAATGTTTTAGTATTTCTTTGTTCAATATAGCATAAATACATTATTCATATAGAGTGTTATCAGTAAAAATGGAGGAGGGCGTGGATAGCCCGCCCACCTCCAAAAAAAGACCACGACGGCCTGATGATCACCAGAACGGATCTGGTCTTGGCGGCGGAGGTGGTGAGAAAGACTTTTTGCCATATTTTAAACCAAACTATAAAAGACTTTATTCTGAAAATAGTATAAACACAGAATTCAAAGTTTTTATTGAAAACAAAAACGGACAAGATAAAATAGGAAATAAAAGTCCAGTTTATTTGAACCATATATTTTCGAATATAAAAGGAGTTGTAGCGATCAGACGAATCAATGCAAACAAAATTGTAGTGATATTTAAACAACACAATACGGCAAATAATTTTTTAAACAATAACAGCTTCCTTGAAAGCCACGACTTGAAAGCATACATACCAGCAGCCCAAATAGAGAAAACAGGTATTATAAGATTTGTTCCTGCAACCATATCAAACAAAGAGTTATTTAGTAAATTGACATCTACATTTGAAATAATAGCAGTCAGGAGATTCATGAAAAAAGTTGGTCATGAATTGATAGCAACTCAAACTGTTAGCATCACATTTTTATCTAACTTTTTACCAGAAAGTGTGCAGTACGATTTATTTTCATACAGAGTTTTCGATTATGTCCCCCCTCTCCAACAATGTTACAAATGTTTTAAATTCAACCATCATGCAAAAATTTGTAATGGCAAACAGCGGTGCTCTATTTGTTCCCAAGAACATTTTTATAAGGAATGTCCTAAACCAAATGAGATTTGCTGCGTAAACTGCAGTGGACCTCATTTGGCTATCTCGAAACTATGTCCCATTAAAATGAAAAAAATTGTGGATAAGAAAAATAAAATTACATATGCAAGTGTTGCCAATTCAAAATTAAATATTGATTTTCCCCCTCTGCCAGTATGCTCCATACCTGTAAATAAAAATGATAATACTATTACTGTAAATAATACTGTATCTAAGAATATAAATAATTCTCTATCTAAAAATGTTAATAAATCTATAATAAGTAAGCCAGTTTCACAGGCTAGTAACATTAAGTCTCAAATAATTGAGAACAGTGAAGTACTTATGGCCCTGGTACATACACTTGTTCAAATTGGAAATAAAACAGACGACACTCCTATAACAACAACATTTATCAAAGATATACTTATTAAAAATTTGCCAAGTTAATGGAGAACCAATCTTGCATGTCATCCTCTTTGCGCCTTGCGCAATTTAATGTTCAAGGCGCAAACAATAAAAAACCTTTACTTACTAAATTTTTAAATGAAAATGATATTGATATTTGTTTACTAAATGAGACGTGGTTAAAGGACAATCAGTCTTTTTACATTTCGGGTTATAACTTTTACAATAAAAATTCTAAAAACCCTCGAAATGGTGTTGGAATTTTAATAAAACCAAATATAAAGCATAGTATTTTAAATACTGTGTTTTTAGAAGATATACAAACAATAGCTTTAAGTGTCAGTACCGGTAATACCTCTTTGTCAATTCTTTGTGTATATTGTCCTCCTTCTAATGGACACATAAGAATGCATAGATTACATAATATTTTAAGAGATTTGCCAAAACCGATTTTTATAAGTGGTGATTTTAATGCACACCACATTGCCTTTGGATGTTTATCCACTAAAAGTCGAGGTCAAAACTTATATGACATTATAGATGATTGTGGTTTATGCATTTTAAACGATGGTAGCTCTACAACAGTTAATTATCCTAGACATAATCCCTCAGCAATAGATGTAAGTTTTATAAGTCCCCAGTTGGCTCCATTCTGTGAATGGTCAGTATATGATGATGCTATGGGTAGTTATCACTACCCAACTATCACAAATATTACTATAAACCCTGAAAGATATACAGTAATATATGGTACAGAAAAATTTTTGTATAATAAAACAGATTGGAATAAGTATGCAGAAGTCTCTAATAATGTCTTTCAAGACATGATAGTTAGTAAAGAGAATCCAGTTGCCTCTTATGAGGAGTTTTGTAACAGACTTAATAAGCTTAAACAAATGTGTGTTCCTAAATTTACTAAAACCAACTTTAGAGGCAGACCACCAGCGCCCTGGTGGAATAGTACATGTGAAGAGGCTGTTATAAAATCTTACAACGCACTTAAACTTTATAGAAACGATCCCACGGTAGATAATTATATAAATTATAAAAGACTAGACGCGCTAAAGAAACGCACTATAAAGGAGCAAAAACGAATTAGTTGGAATAGTTACTGTAACAGCTTTAATAGAACTACTCCCATTAGTCAAATTTGGAATCTCATTAAAAAGTTTAAGGGTGTCAGAACTGGTAATAAGTCGTATAGGGATGATTTTGTGCAACCATTCTTAGACAAACTATCTGATAATACAAATTTAGTAAACTCCAATTCATTAAATGATTATTTTATATCTAACAATGAAAACCCTCAATCAAGATTTCTTTTAGAACCTTTTTCATGGTCCGAATTTATAATGAGTTTACAATCCCGTAAAAATACTAGTCCCGGTTTAGATGACTTTCCCTATTTATTAATAACATATTTACCTGAATCCATAAAATTAATATTTTTAAATGTACTTAACAGTCTCTGGCATAAGAAATTAATTCCAACATCATGGAAGACTCAATGTGTTATTCCAATTCTTAAACCAGATAAATCACCAGAAAATGCAAGTTCTTATCGTCCAATCTCACTATCATCGTGTCTTGGTAAGATATTTGAAAACATGTTGAAGACTCGCCTCGACTGGTATGCGGAATCAAATACTATCATCCCTCACATTCAATATGGATTTCGTAAAGGAAGAAGCTGTGCAGACAGCTTTATTTCTCTAACAAATGATCTGAAAAATGCGAAAAATAATAAGATACATACAGTTTGCGTATTTTTAGATGTCCAAGGGGCCTTTGATAGTGTAGATCCTGGCATACTGGTCAAGGTACTAAGTAATGCTGGGATACCAGGACAGTTGTGTAAATGGATCTATGATTTTCTAAGTAATAGAGTTCTATATGTTAGGCATAACAATGTTCTACATGGACCCAGAATTGCCTCAAAAGGTACCATGCAAGGTGCAACTTTGTCACCATTGTTATATAACTTGTACACATGTGAAATATGTAAATATGTAGATACCAAAAATGTAAATATACTTCAGTTTGCTGATGATTTAGTTTTATACAGTTCGGATTTAAACTTAACATTAGCTGTAGAAAAAGTAAATACTGGATTAAGACAATTGAATAACTATTACCAGCACAGACTAAACTTAAAAGTAAATACTATGAAAAGTAATGTCATGATATTTGGAAAAGACCTACCAATGATAAATGTTACTTATAATGGTGATGTTATACAACAAGTAAGGTCACATAAATTTTTAGGTGTTATCATTGACCAAAGACTTACCTTTGAAGAACAAATTAAATATATATCTAAACATGCATTAAATGGTCTTAATATTTTGAAATGCTTAGCAGGTGTTACATGGGGTGCAGATCCTAAAATACTTTCAGTCTTATATAAATCTATTGTTAGGAGTCATTTTGACTATAGTTATTTAGTCTATTTAAATAGTACTCATATCCAAAAATTAGATGTAATACAGAACAGAGCTTTAAGGATCATATCAGGGGCTATGTGTTCAACTCCCATAAGGGCCATGGAAGTTGAAACAAATATTATGCCTTTGGTTTTGAGAAGATTTATGCTTGCACAAAGATATTGCCTTAAATTATGCTCATCAAACAATTTACAAATTATAAATAAAATTAAACCTCACCCAATGACTACTGATAGTCCTCTTTTTTCTGCTATAAATCTTCTTAGAAACATATCTCCAACTTTATGCCAAATTTTGTTAGACATACAGTCTCAATATTCAAACATTTGTAGGTACTCCCACTGGCCATGTTACACTCATTCATACGCCAGTATAATGCATCCAATAGTAGTTTTTTCAATGATAATCAATAATAACACAGACTTTATTTCCTTCCTAGAAGAAAATAATAGTTATTATACAATGTATACTGATGGCAGCAAAGGTAATACTTATGTTAGATGTGCAATATATGATCCGCAAAAAAAATACACTCAGAGCTTTGTACTTAATGAACATTGTTCCATATATACGGCAGAGGCATATGCAGTTTTTGAGGCTTTAAAATTCATCACACATATTGATACTTGTAAACATTTTTTAATTTTAACAGATTCTTTGAGTCTTATAGAAAGCCTCAAACATATAAATCTTAATTTTAAAACCAACTATATAATTTATTATATCAAAGATTATGTGTGGCAGTTACATAATAAAGGAATAACAGTTGCCTTTATGTGGGTTCCTTCCCATAAGGGTATTTCTGGTAATGAAATAGCTGACAAGACTGCATATGAAGGAATCAATGCTAAGAACGTTAGAAATGTGGTGTCCGTTCCTATGACTGACTATTATAACGATGTAAATATCTCCTTAAAAGATATGTGGCTAAAGTTCTGGAAAGAAGATCAAAAATGTAAAGGAAAATGGTATGGAACTATACAAGAGAATTTACCAAACAAACCCTGGTATGACGAGCTCGATGTAGCTAGTCGTGAATTTATCACTACAATTAACAGATTGAGATTTGGTCACAATGCCGCACCCGCACATCTTGCGAGGTTCAATATAATAAATAGCAATATTTGCAACTACTGTGACGAAGAAGGAGACATCGAACACATATTTTTTAAGTGTCAACACCCTATGTTTATCTTTCATAGACTTATATTGGCAAGTGATATTATAGAAGCTAGTGAAACCTCCCGCCGCCAGTTGTGTAATTTACTTAAAAACAAAAAGTGTTATAGTGCGTTATACAAATACATTAAAAACACTATAGGGTCCATATAAGAAGAAAAGTGTGAAGTGAAAATAAGACTTGGCTTAAAGGTCTCGTTACCAGGCCATTAAATATTATTAAAAAAAAAAAAAAACTTGTTTCGACTTTTGAAGGACTTCTACTTTTGTGTTGCATTTTTTGAATATTTTGTGACGGTTAAATCAATTTTTGATTTAAACATTTTTTCACCTTATACAATATTGGTTGTGAATATGCAATTTGTGTAAACGATTAATTATGAGTACTCAGAATTGGCGAAAGACTGAAGATGAAGCGGGTTATCCATGTTATATTGAGTACGCGATCTACTTTCTCTACTACTAGAACTGTATCCGCGGTTTACTGATTTTTCAATTTGTATTCGTACTATAGTAATAATAATTAATAACTTTCAGCGAAACGAGCGGCAAACAGGATTTCAACCATCCTAAGTTCAAAGATATAGTTATTTTACTAGATGAATATAATGGTATTAAGTACACTGCATATAAGGTTGCGTTTAAGATTTTCGTTCTCCAAAAACAACTTAAAGGTTTGTAATACTAGTTGTAGCTGTTTTATTACTGTCTATAGCATTAAAATCATCATTATAAATTATAAAACTTATTTGATTTTTTCCATATTTCAGTACCTCCCCTCCGAATAAGTTCTGGTGTTTTTGCGAGGCATCAGCTAAGTTTGTCAGAAAGCAGTTTATCCCTTGATACAGCTGAATTGGAGGCAGTTCTTGCTGATATTTACTTTGCTGCGGAGAAGGAAGGATTGTTTGATGGTGACATTGATTTGGCTGTGGATCTAGTTATCAATCTGTTGTTAAATGTTTATGATGAGTAAGTTATGTTTGTTAGGTCTTAAATTTTATACACAACTATTATTTCAAGTAATGTCTGTAGTTTAAGTGAGTAGTTCACATGAATATATATACTTTTTACAGTTTGAAACGCAAAATATATTAGAAATGGATGACCATAGCTAAATTAAATAATAAGGAAGTTAAATAATACGCGTCAAAATGACCCCATCTGTGGCTAAATGGTTAGACATGTTGCCTATCACTACATTACTGATTGTTTCAGTCAGGTACGGCACAGAAGTCGATCAACTTCTTGCCTGTCAATAAAACTGGTTATTTAAACAGACCACAAAATGTGTCCACCCCATGCCCCACAAGGGGAAGCCGGATTTCACTAATATATTTCGGGGTTCAAGCCATTAAAAGTGTTTTATTTAAATTACATTTTATTTTTTAATTATAGTTATTATGAGCTAGTTTTATTGCAAAAACTAAAGGTCATTTGATAATATTTTCTAAAACAAACATGTTGTTGGAGTGGATTCAAACTAGCTGAGTCAGTTATTTTATTCATCCAAAATTGTTTTTGCAAACTACTACCTACGTCATTGGACGGTTCCCGTCGTTCCTGCGAGTTCATCTTAAAGGATAGACATATTGTGTGGTGGACATTCTCTTTTTTTAAATTGACAGAAGAATCATTCTCTCATACATATTTTTTGTGTATCTTGAATAATTTTCGCAGCGTACGAATCGGAAACCTACAAAGATGAATAATTTTCCCTGTTTTTACCGCAACCTTCCGCTGTTTCCTATACAAGCGCAATGTTTTATAGCCTTCCGCGATAATTGCTCTAACCAGCAAAAAAATAATTTTTCATTTCTCTGTCTTCTATAGGTGTCTCCAATAAAAAAAAATTAGTGTAGGTAATTAAAGATTATTATAGAGAATTATTTATTCTTACACACCTAAGTATTTGAGTTTACATGCATTGTTATGCATTAAGACTATGTTTCCTTTCAGAAACAGAAATACTCCAATAAGAGTGCTTGCTGCCAAAACATTACTAATAATTCTAAGTGAAGAATCTGTTGATGACAAATGGTTTGCTCTAGCCAACTGCTGTGCTGACCACAATGGTTGTGTGTCTCCTCGGAGATTATCAGCATTGCTCCAACATGTTGCCGTTTTAGCAAAATACTTGGGAGGACCTGGAGACCAAGTTCAAAGTGATGTTGACGGATGCTTTAGTAAGGTTAGATCTTTATATATAAACTGCTAGGTTTTTTAAAAACCCTTCATCTTTTTTTAAAGTTTTAAATGAATTTCTATTGAAACTAGTTTTTTTTTTATATAAGTGTCAAGAAAGAAGACTAGAATAATTTAATCACCAAAAAAATTATCAAATTCCATGTTTGTTGCAGAGTGCTGGTATGCTTGGTGTCAGCTGTCGTTCAGTAGCAGATTGGGGTGTTAACACCTGCTGCAGTACAAACTGGCTAATTGTAGTACAGAGGGTAGTTTCTAGTAGAAATTGTTCTACCGCCAACGCGTCTTGTGTTGTATGTTTACAACCACTTATACAGGTATTGGCTTTTATTACTGTTTTTCGCTATTTGACGCAGCCATATTAAAACTCCAAATAATGATTTGTGAAAACAGTCAACAAAGTATAAGTCGCGGCACGGATCTTTAGCGCTGAACGAAGTGTAGAGATAGTTATAGTTGATAATGTAATATCTTAATAATTAAGTCCTCATTCCTTTTAACCTTACAGGTACTAAAATTCAAGTGTGCTAAATGCACGGATCTATACTTCTGTGAGAAGTGCTATTTATACGACAAAGACTTAAATAATATTACTGGACACAAGAAGTCTCATTTAGTTTATGAGGTTAATGATGGACAGGTAGTATTCATATTTATATCCTCCATTTTGTATTGTTTCGTTCCAACCTAATTATTACATTCCTTTAATAACAGACCTATCTCTCACAGATAAAACCAACAGAGTGTCTCAGTTTTATGAAGGGTATGAAACGATTTTTCTTCTGCACAAAGACTGGTAAGAAATCAAGCAAAAAAGGAAGTAAGAAAAAGAAAGAAAGACCGGGGTCTGTCAGGAGAAAACAGGACGAAAAGCCAGCGATTTTCACCTCAACAGTTGGTAAAGCTTCTGGACATAAGAGGAATAATCCAGCGATTACTTTAGAAGATATTATAACGCAATTGGAAAATCAAACTAGGTATTATCTTTAGTATGGCTTGAACCAAGGAATTATTATATAATTTACTAGCTGTTCCAGCGACTTCGTCCGCGAGAATCGTTATTTTAGGCACCCAAATTCGTTTTTGCAAACCTCTTCATCTTTTAAACTCAAGCCCACGACGTCGGTCTTAAAAGATAGTCATTCGCGGACTTTTTTTTACATCATTTAAAGAGGAATCATTCTCTCATACATTTTTTTTGGTATCTTGAACCGTTATTGTAGCGTACGGCTCGGAAACCTGTAACGATGACTAATTTCCCCCTTTTTTTCATATTTCTCGCTGGATCTTCGCTCCTATTAGTCACAGGGCGATGTTTTATAGCCTATAGCCCTCCTCAATAAATGCTCTAGCTAACACAGAAAGGATTTTTCAATTCGAACCCGTAATTTCTGAGAGTAGCGCGTTCAAACACACAATCAAACTTTATATATTAGTATAGATAGATTGTACACATACTCTACTAGTTAGTCATACTTCTAGATACATACTATACTACTTTATGCAATAAGTTGTACCTAAAAACATTTTTCTCCTATATTTAGAGCCCTAAAAGATATTTCAAGCCAACTGCAAGAAGTCTCCCAGACATGTGATGATGAATTAAAAACAAAAGTTGATACACACTACAATCAAATATCGGCACAGATAAGCCGTTTAAGAGAACTAAAGGTAAAATTTTAAGCGTATCTTGCTATTATTTTTATTTTTTTAATATATTTTACAAAATAACACTATAAATAACATTTATTGGAACACAACAGAGTCCCATTTGCTATATGGGCCATGCGAGACTTTACAGAGAGTCGTTGTGAAAGGATATCCATATTTATTTCAGGAAAATCTTACAAGTGAAGGAAAGACGGAGAAAAGTGAACGGCCACAAGCATTCGATATGTTCAGTCCTATACCAGTTGATGAAAAACAAGCGAAAATGACGGAAAATCTTAAAAACCAGCCTCGAGTCCTCAGCATGGACTCTGGGAACTTCTCAGTGACGTCCAAACATGAGAATCAGGTGTTGTCTATGACAGGAGATGCCTTGAAGCCGGTGATACAAGGAACTTCAGATAGTATATCTGCCGTGTCTATGAATGAAATGACTAATTGGTATAATGGTATGTTATTAACATTTATAATAATTTTCTTATTTCCAACTACCCTCAATTTTTTTCACATGATGCCACTATATAAATTTAAAATCGGATAAAATTGAAAAAAATAACGACACGGACTGCTGATTTGTTCTGTTGCTCTAACCAATTGAGTTACCGAGTCCTACACCTCATCGTCGAATTCTTTCAACTTATAGATACATGCACCTCTCGCGCAATGTAATTTCAATCTTAACACTTGCGAATTAAAGCGATACCTTTATACACGTTACCATCTTACAGAAACTGGTGCTGAGAAAAGATCTAGGACAATCCTTCCAGACCAAACGTGCCATAACATAACGACAGAGCAACGATTCGCGGCGGATATGCGCAGCGTTGAACAGAGTAATGACAAAATGAAAGAGTTGAATGCGGACCTGGACACAGTTCTGGACAGGCTTCAGCAGATATTGACACATAACTTTACTGTTGACGGTCAGTTAATGATTTTGTAATTTAATTTATCGTCAAGATTTGTCATTCAGCAAACTGTTTAATTAATTATCTATATTATATAATTTTAGTTTGTATTTATCACAGATAATGACAGACAAACACGATGTTCATGTGATAGAAGGTAGACCTAAATAAAAATAAAAATTCTACTAATATTATAAACGTGAAAGTTTATATGTGTGGATGGATCTTTGTTACTCTTTCACGCAAAAACTACTGAATGGATTTCAAATAATATAGCTTCTACACCAGAATAACACATAGGCTACAATTTATAAAGATATTGTGTGAGCTCTCCAAAATATGACATTAAGTGTCAAGTAAGTGGGGAAAAAACCTACCTTTCTGTGAGCTATTCTGGCGTGCGCTGCCATAAACGTTACGTAACATAACGTTACACATAATTATGTAATGTATGATATTTAGTTTAAATGCGCGATTCCACGTAATCCTAATTCTGCGTAGACGAAGTCGCGGGCACCAGCTAGTATATAATATAAATAAGATTGTACTGTCGATTTTAACTTTCGGAAGTTCACAGCATGAAACCCAAACATAGATTTAGAATCCATCTCTTTTATGTGTGGATGGTCGCGGATATTTTTTTAGATCATTTAAAGAAGTATCATCCTTGCAAACATATTTTTAGGTGTCTTGAATCATTTTGCAGCGAATACAACGAAAACCCTTAAAGTTTAATGTTTTCCCCCATTTTTTCCACATTTTCTACTATGTCTTCGCTTTGTGATGTTTCTCAGCTCGATAAATGCTTTAACCAACACAAAAATATTTTTTCAATTTAAACCAGTAGTTCCATAGATAAGAGCGTTCAAACAAACAAGTTCTTGAACTTTATAATATTAGTATGGATTGTAATTATTTTCTTTAAGAATTATATATGTTTAAATTTGTATCTTACAGAATCGTGCTTCGATAACAGCCAACTCAAGGAGACTGCAAACGAAATGGAAGGTTTACTTGGCTCATTAATACGCGGCGTTGAGCAAAGGGCAACACTCAATACTAAAGGGATGGTCTGAAATCTTTTAACAATTTTGTTGATAGTAAAAAAGAGATTATTACAATTGTTTGTACTAATCAAACTCATAAAAATACTTTAAAACGGACGTGCGCTCTGTAACGTGCTATACATTCATCGCGAGACCTCTTAACTTTTCCCACGGCTGGGATTTGTATATTTATTTATTACATATTAGCTCCAATGAAGGAGAGCAATACGATAAATATCTGTGTCATTATATGGTTGATAAATCTCTTTACGATTAGTCCCAGCCGTGGGAATAGGTAAAGGTTTCATGATGAAAAACCGACGAATTTTATAATAACAACCATCAAATTATTATCAATTTTGCATATAAGATGGTGCTATTTAGAAATATTTATCTAAGCCACCTGAATAATACATTCCGCTAAATATACTCTGTGGTTTACGATTGTGACATAATGGTTAATTATATTCTATATGATCTGATTTAATAGGACTGATATTAACATTGACGTGATTCTGTGGTATTTTATAATGAATTTATTAAATTAAGCATTCGGCTGGGCCTAAACATAAATATTTTTCGCTATTTAAGTCTAATTATCAAAGACGTTTCAGTGACAAATATAAGAATCGTTTGTATGTGTAGTATAGAGATGTTTGGCAATATAAAAAAGAAACGTAGTAACTCTTTGTATATTAAAAAATATTGTATATAGAATGACCAATTCCAATAGGGGATCAGACAGTAATCCATTAAAAATCCTTATTCTATCTTGCGTAACGAGAAGCATTAATCAAATAATTTGATTTAAATATTTTAAATGAAGAAATAAAATGTCAATTATGATATTTTTACCTGTACATATTATAGATACATTCGAAGTGCGTGAAGTCATTTGTAGGCAACTATTGAGCGCGGATGACAATTGACCACTCATGACGTCACGCGTTGTCACACTCCGTAACGTTGTGTTTTGGCTAAAGTTTTAAAGACACGATATTTAAACTGTTTTAAATAATTCATTAAAAATCTACCAGATCTGAAAATTTGTTGATCCTCTGTTCGACATATATGTATACTCGTCTGACAGATGTCAAGTATAAAAGTACGGTCATTATTTATATACACACTATTCTGTACATTTGTTCATTTGGGCAAAGTTATTTAATTACTTTTAAAATTCAATGAACTTTATATACTCGATTTATACCAATTTTAATTAATTTAATGTACAATGCAACAACTATATTTACAGTTTAGTTATTTACTAAGAGCTCCGCTTCTCAGCGTTTCGGGCAAATTAACATAATATATTGTAACAACGAAAATGTTTCCAATGAATTAGTGTAAAAATGGCTATGATCTATATTTTTGAGTCTCTCATAGACATAAGTGATCCGCCCTAGTTTGTCTGCGATAGATAATTACATGCCGTCCTATTGGTGCTCAACGCGATGCGTGATTAGGGAAAATAAAACTAAAGCATTTAGAAAAGTAACATGCCATATAATTTATAAAAATTTACATACAAATCTTTATAAAATAGCTATAAGTTATGTAGATGTTATATAAAATATATGTATTTAGGTTAAGTGTTTGTCTGTGCGCTTTACTCGTGTTGTCTGTAAAATAAGCAAGCTATAACATGCAAAGAACAATTAACACAGATATATTTTTCATTTGATCTTAAATATTGTGAATGACGGAGGCGGGATTCGAACCTGCAACATAGCTTGTTTGTCTAACAGCTTCCAATAATACCTAGTTATCTCTCATGAGTAGATTCAATTCGAACTTTTGCAATATTCCTAAATTATAAAAAAATGGAAACAATATAATTTTTGTAAAGCTATTCGCTTAAAACTACGCGTAATAAATTCTTAAGAGCAATTAGATTGCTTTAGCACAACCTAGAGTACTTAAGACAAATGTAAATACTCATGTTAAATACGATAAAGTGAATCTCTATGGACGGAATGTTTTATTTTAATATATTACCATCTACATTTGGATACAATTCTCATTACTGCTATATCTTACTGCTATTAACGTTAAATATAGCGCTTAAGTCTATTGTCATTATGTTAGAGCGTTATAAGCATATCTATAAAAATATATTCTCTTGTGAGGTATTTACAGTACATTCGTAACAGATGCCAATTTATCAGCTAAATTGAAGGCACTCGGAAAATAGTGTTGTTTGAAGATAAACAGCGTTAATGATGTTGTCTTTGTTCCACTTAGGCTAAGTGAATATATCAGAAAGAGACAACACTCGTACTTAAATATTGCCAGTATAGTCTTTAAATAAATATTGCCTGTAGTTAAACATTAAATTAACAATTTAACGGTTTAAAACCCGAAATATATAAAAAACTATTTTATTAGGATCCGAACTGATACTCAGCAGCTGTGCTCGCGGAGGAGAATCCATTAATTTAGTATTTTGCGTTTCAACCCGTTAATAATGTAAATAACTAATCCTCAATCAGGCCTTGTTTGTTTTGGAAAATTTCATCGTTATAAAATAAAAATAACCGAGTTATTATTTTATGTCAGATCCATATTAATTACGTTTGCTGCTATTGATGAGGTATTTGCAGCAATGTGTCAGCAGATGCTTCTCCTTTTCTGTTGAGCCGTTTTGATGTATTGCTGTTGGACCGTTGCGTTCCCGAGTGTAAATGTCTAGACCATATTGACCTATAACATAAAAGATATTGACGCTTGTTGTTTAAATGATATACGCGTATGAAGTTACAAAAACTGCGCCGGAGTTGAGAGCATAAATGCAGTTGTGATACTGTTCGTGAGTTTGACTCCCTGCTAGTCACCAATTCAATTTCTCAACACATTATACATCTTTGTGATCTAGCGCTAAGTTTCTAAGTTTTTTTTTTAGTTGTGTTTAATTTAAATGCTTGCATAAATTCGACTCCTTAGCCTGTCACCAATAAAAAAGGCATTTATAAGGTACCCATTTTCATTGCTGCCTATAAGACGAAGAAGAGAAATTAAACATCGATATTAAATTGAAAATATTTACGACTCGGGCAGGACTTGAACCGGCATTCACAGCGTTCCGTGCTTTAACCAGTTTAACTACCGAATCTACGCGTAATTACGTTGTACATGCACCTCTCGCGCAATGTAATTCCAACCTTAACACTTGCGTCCTAATGTCCAATGTCTCATGCTTTGCAGCTTAAGAAAATCATTGAAGCTAAGTTAAAGCGATACAAATCAAACTGACCTTCTTCTGGAAATGTGATATAGAACGAGACGATGTCATCCGAGACATTCTGATGCACGTATTTGGAGAGACGCTTCTCGTCCACCCCGTTCTTGTGTAAGGTCGCCATGAAGTCCGCTAGGGGCCGGGACATGCGAAATTGTATTTCTAGTTCCCTGCCTGCGAACACTAGTGCTTCCTGGTGAGACAATGAGAGACAAAACAATTAAGTACCATATTGAGACATTAACTCATAAACAATTAAAGAAATATAAAATTGTTTATAAAAATAAGCCTGTTTAAACAGTTGCTAAAAACACAAAATTAATTCACGTAATACGTATTTTCAAATCAAATAAAAAAAATATATTCAAGAAGGTAGCTAGTACCTAGCTTATGAATGTCGATACAGTTAAAAAAAAACCTCAAAATTAACATTTATTCGTTCTTAGTGTTTAGCTTGTCTCTTTTATTAGTTCTTAGTCATTTTCATCGTATTATTATATATATAGCGTATAATATAGCGTAGTATGTTATAAGCTGTAAAGATGAAATAATAAATTTATTACCAATTCCCAAATTAAGGGTGTGAAACGAATGAGAGGAATTGGCAAGAAACTCGTGGCCACTCTTTTTATCGTCTAATTTTTGTTAGAAGTTCTTTTCACATCTACTTAGGTTTATCTCTTATTTGGGATTTTGTAATTTCTTTGATATGCTTTATGAAACTATGTACACTAAATAAATAATTTGATATCGTAGAAAATTTGTATTAGTACTCTCCAAGAAAATAAATATGTACATCAAAAATGTGTGGCCCCACAAAGGACCGATTCCGATCCGCGTTCGAAGATAAAAAAAACATATAACCGGTCGAATCAATGATTTGCTTTTTCCGAAGTCCGTTAAAAATTAATTGTTTGTCGTGAAAAAAGTAAGACCAACATTAATAGTTATTATCAAGTTGCTTTACGCATGTTTTATTTTGTTTGTATTTTTTATCTACCTGGTGTGTAATTGGAACTAAACCAAAGAGCCTGGTGGCTTTGGTGGGTCCCCATTCTCCGCTCGCGCAGTCTGGTAAAGGCACCATCACGGTCTGTAGTTCCGCACAGCATATCTAAAGAAAATATATGTTCAAATAAATATTGTTTTGTAGTTTACCCGAGGGATGAAAATAAAATATTTTCAACAGTTAAAACGTGGATTAAAAGCAAACACTTTTGTTAAAATGTAATTAAAATTTCCGCCCTCCATATCAATATAATATTCAGTCAATTGTCAATGTCAACTTGACATTTCTTCCTTTTGCTCTTTCAGTTTACTATCATTGTAAGGTGTTAAACAAAGCCCTAATTTGATAATATTACTCAGTTTTTTTAGCTTTTTTGTGTGATATAGCGGATAAATGATAGAAATAAGTGTCTTCTATGGCCAGGCCTCTATTTTTTGATTCTATCGCGTCATACCTTAAACTTGCAAACACTCTTGAACTTCATGGGTTCTCCGGTAAGATATTCCCTTGGTGTGACGGCGTTTGCGAAGATGTCCAATAGAAAGGCGCCGCTGCACGGCGCGTGCACACGGAACGATACGACGTTGCCGACCACAGACTAAACAACAAGAAACACGAATTAATAAAAAAAAAAAACAAATTAATTCTGTAAATACAAAATATAAGATTGCGTTAAATACTTAAAGTAATATACATATATCAAATATCGTAACTTTTCTTGATTTACCTGCATCACGAATCTCTTAAGACTGACGCCGTCGAAGCCATCCCCCTCCGTGTCATAAAACTTGAGGTTGTAGTGGAATATCAGCGAACTCTGCATATGTGCCGGCATGGCTATGCGCATAGTCGCCGCACCTATGCCAAATTTATGCCATTAAAATGCCAAATAGGCAAATATTTGTTTTCAAATAATATGTTAATGTTAAGAAAGCAATAACTTTCAAAATTAAGTTTATAAGTAATTAATTTGAAATAAAATATTATTTTTTTAAGCGCATTTTTGACAAAATATTTGCGCCCTTGTGTAACTTAACATGATCCGAAACACAAATAATGCTGATACAAATTTAACTTACCAGTGGAGTCTGTGAACATGACTGCCTTAGTGTTAGGATCGCTGAAGTAGAGGCCATATCTGAAGAAGAGTGACCTGACGAACGGCAGCTCTTCGAAGTCATGAAGGGTGATCGGTGTCTTGAGCAATTGCCAGTCTGGCTGCAGAGGGTAGAACTCGTAGATAAATTCACGAGGATCCGTCAAGAAATAATGGTCATCGTATTCATATCTGTGGAAATAACATAAATGAAAAATTTGACTTCACGGACAGGACTTGAATCACTATACGCAGCGCCTTATGCTGCTGCTTTATCAATCGAACCTCACTTTCAGTCTCACTCGTTCTTATTGAATTTTTTGTACAATGTGTAACCGAATTCGAATGAGCACGAGAAATTATGGGTTTGAATTTATTTTTCGGTCGGACAGGTCACCGAAGATTGATCAATTTAGGTGCCTATAAATAAATTTTATCTGTGAACGGGACGCAGATACATGTTTGCCCCGTGCCCCAATTTTGAAAATGATTGGGATTTCACATTACATCTCGTGTATTATTATATTATCCTATTAGTAAATAGAAGTTGGGATTATATTAAATTAAAGTGTACCTTAAGCTATCACTTTTCCCCCTATTTCCCGGCTTGGGTGCGTCCTTAGCGTTGACGAGATGTCGCGCCCCCCAGTTGCACTGCACAAATCTCCACGCTCCCGCCACATAAACTGCGTTCCAAGAGTTTCTGAAGCGATTGTCCTCGAAGCGAACTCCTGGTTGGTAGCCAGCTGACTTGCTGTAGCCCTTTATAACTACGCAGTGGAGACCAGCATAGCTATAAAACATAATATATAAGAAGATAATTATAAATCAAACAGACAAGACGACAGACATACGGGGTTTACTATATTGAAGTTGAAAAATGGCTGGGACGTTTCAAGAACAAGGACAAGGTACAGACTGATCAACTACTTGCCTATAAATAAAAGCTACCAGTGAAATGGTCATAAAAGAGTAGGCCTCCCGACCTGTAGATCCCCCTACAAGGCGTGCGACTCTTTTGGAAGGTTTATCACGAAACAATTTCCAAAATTGATGGAAGCCGATAGGATAGTGGACTTTGTGTATTGCGTAATATATGTAGTTACATGCACTTATAAAACTAACAACGTTCTTGTCGACGTTCTTAGTTACCACCCCGTTGTTGAAGGAAATTGTATATAACTTGACTAATACATTTCGCGTTTTAACCCTTCGGAGTGTTACTATTAAATGTGTTAATTACAGATACTATTTAAGAAACGTTACCTGCATAGCCTCTTGAAGAGTACATGGTAACTTTCAGTGCCGTGCTTGATGCCCCTCAATAGACCAAGGGGGGAGTCCCCGCGGAGGTTATCATCAAACTGTATGTTATTGAGGTTCTTGACTGTGATCCAACGGAAGATGGTTCGCGCTTTCTCCACATCCGTCGCGCATCTCCCAACCAACTGACGGACTAGATCTGTGAACGTCTTCTGATCTTCTTGGGCCACCTTGAACGTAATACTAGGTTTTAGATAAAATACTTGATACAAATATGAATGTAGTGAAAATACGGCCTACAACACACTGCAACAGTATCTTTAAGTTTCGTCAAAAAATTGCCGAACTACGGGGAGACCAGTTAATAAGCGCCATATTGTTTTATTTCAGAATTCTGTATGTCTGTATGTGTAACTGTATAACTTTGTGATTTAGTACCATGGCATTGAAGGAGATATTTCGTAAAGCCTGCTGGTCGATTATTAGCGATGTTTGGCTAATAACTAAGCACTTAAAAGCCCAGAAAACATATTTGTGTTTTATAAACAGACTACTTACCGATATTGCAATTTTATCGACCTCCGAAAACTCTGCAGGATCTGTGTAAATGTGAAACTTAGAGACTAAAGGTGGTTGTGGAGGGGGCGCTCTCGCTGGATAGGGGGGTGCTTCCTCTCCATCCAAGTACAGGGAGGATTCCGCCATGTATTCGGACCGTCGTTCTTGGATGAGTTCCATCATTTCATGACTCTGTTTCTCTACTAACGCGGCCGTGGCAGCCCTGAAAAGATTAAGAATATTTTGTTTTATTTACTAGCAATTGCTTATCGACTAAGCTCAGGATTTTTTAAGCTGCTATAATCAATGATAAAAAAAAACTACTATGCTTCTAAGGGGTCATCCATAAAGTACGTCACATGTAAAGGGGGGAGGAGGGGGTCGGCAAAGTGTGACAAGGGGTGGGAGGGGTCCTAAGTTTCGTGACATCACATTTTAAAATCTAATGTATCCAGAGGTAATCGCGTGATTTGAAATATTAATTAAACTAAAAATTATTTCCAACTCTATCGAATAACGAAATAAAACTAATTTCGGAACTGCTGTTTTAATTTAATTATTTTTCGGTGTGAAATTGCAAAACATGTGACGTCACACTAGGGAGGGGGTCTCAGAAATCATGAAATTCGTGTGACGTACTTTATGGATGACCCCTAACATAAATATATGAGTAAATTAATATCCTTGGTATAAGTTTAATGGGCATAGACTGAACACATTTCTATGTCCGTTTCACTGATCAATTTTACAGTCAAGTAATTCACCAGAATTCTGTACCTTGCTAGACCGAAATAACTACTGATTTCCCCAGGATTCGACACTAGGACTATGGAGCCAAGGAGTTTATTATCGACAGCAGTTTCTGAGCTTACTTGAAACTAATACATATGAAAAGAATTTACTTTTAGTTAAAGATTTAACCTCTCATGTTCCAACATCTTCCTCGTCAGACTTTCCTTCTTCTTATCTCTTCTTAATGTCATGTTCTTTTCTAAATCTGCTCTCTCCTGCTGATGCCGTAATGTTAACGCACCGATCTCGGCATCTGGCCTTCTCTTCTTTATCTGCATCTCTTGTTGAAATCTGTTCGTTAATCTCTCCAACTCTCTCTCCCATTCATCCTGAAAATGAGGTTTGCAATATTAGGTACATTAACTTCAACATAAATAACGTCCTTATACTACTATAAGTATAAGGACTAGAGCCAATCAAAGGAAAACTATTTTATTATGAGAGTTTATTGTAGTGTAACTAAGTATCTATCTATCTAAATAGAAATCGTTATTTCACAAACAAATAATTTTGTATATCATACTCGTATAATAAGGGTTTAAGAAGAAAAATCTTATTGAACAAATTATAGATGTGTATATAATTATCACTGTGTTAAAGAAATAAATTGGTTAACTCAATTCACTAAGTAAACGAACAGTTGATCTATTTTTGTACGAAGTTGACTATTAGCTATACGTATTTTAAATGTATTGCGATTATATTATTAAAAAAAACATTTCGATAAATTAAAAAAACCAACAAATATAAAATTACCCACCTGTATTTCTTCCCGTATTCGTCTGTTCTCTTCTTCTCTGTGCTTTGAGAATTTTCTGTACAGATCATCTTCTTCTTGTCTATGTTTCATTTCAAGTTTGGTCTGTTCATCGCGGTCCTGTAACAAGAAAATAATTACCATATTATTTTGTTTTTTAAATATTAAAAATGAAGAATATATGTAAACAAACTATATAGGTTTGTACATATACTAAAGTTAATACTGAAACATCTAACGAACATTTATAATTCCTATTATGGCCGTAGCCATAGTCAACAGACTAAGTTTGTCAAAGTAAAGATACCAAATCTTTCCTTTATCTGTGGTTTTATTCTAAAGTCCGTCTATGACTATTCTGTGTTTTGATGACATCCGAATATAAAACTTTTCACTTTCTACATTTACGAAATATGCCTTAAGATTGTCTTTATGATTGATGACATAAGAAAGAGATTGCGTGTGAATAATCCCAGTAACAATAAAATGGGCGAGACATTTGTACCGACTCCCAAGCAATTCTACTTCCTTAAGCATGTGAATAAAATGTAATTTTCTTTCACTGATAAATATTAAAATAACGCTTTGATAATGAATATGAGGCCGCTAGAGGCAGAGTAGCCTAACCTTTGATGACTTGAGTTTTTTATATTTTCATAGTCTAAAAATGTTAATGTACAAGAGAAGTGGCCAAAAAATGTTAACATAATTCTTACACAAATAATAGTACAAATTCATTTTCGCCTAAGTTGACTGCGTATTTTAATTTTTTCTCCTTATTAATAATCATTTTTTTTTTTGTTATTAGGTCACTGTGCTTCTAGCAGCCTCATATTATATAGGTACACACTTAGTGGGTTATCATAATAATTTATATGTTACGCAATAAAGCTAAATATCAAACTAGCATACAAACACACAAAAAATAATTAAAGCGTAGATCTTAAATCGATTTTATTTAAATATTAAAGAATTCTTAGAAAGTTATTCTCCTCTAAGCGGCAACAGTTTATGTAAATTGTTACATTTTATTGCTAAGAGTCTAAGAAAGTATTTTACGATCTATAAAAGGGGTTCATCACCTGTGTCTAATGGCGTCATCTGGTGGTAATCAATGGTAGCTAAGTGTCGTTACTAGACATAGGTATTTTATAAACGACTAGCTGTGTCCAGTCCACATCCATCGGTCCAGTACTTTTTGAGTTTATTCGTTACATACAAAAATAGAAATCTTTCCTCTTTATAATATTAGTGTAGATTCGTAGTCGTAGGTCGTTCTTGCAAGTTAATCTTAAAAGATAGACATATAGCGTCGGGGACTTTTTTTTAGAGCATTTAAAGAGGAATCATTCCTTCAAACTTAATTTTTATGTATCTTAAACTGTTTTCGCAGCGTACGCATCTGAAACCTACAGAGATGAAGAATTACCCCCGTTTTGTTGACATTTCTCGCTGTATCTTCGCTCCTATTAGTCACATCGCAATGTGTTATAGCCTATAACCTTCCTCGATAGATGCTCTAACCAACACAAAAGAATTTTTAAATTCGAACGTAGTTCCTGAAATTAGCGCGTTCAAGCAAACTCTTCAGCTTTATATATTAGTATAGATATAGATATTCAAAGAAGAATTAGTGTTTGATCTTTGATTCTTCAAATTGTCATTTTTTATTTTAATACTGTATTAATGTTATTGTTAATTACGCTGACTGTAAAGTACTATATTCATCATGTTCAAGCGCTATTAAATATCCTTTAATACCTTTAGAAAATAAGATTGTCATTAAAAACGGGAAAATTGTTTTAATACATCGATATAATCTTAAGTGTCACTTATTTTGTATATAAACATTAATCGTTCATGTTATTTCCTACGTAAATCGTTACAAAAAACACCAATTAAATGTAATTTATCAATTAAAAGACATGAGGGTATGACGCGGCTAGATAAGGACAAACGGAATGACGTAACGCCTCGCTCGATTATGCCAAGTCCTAGAGCCTCATTCAAGGTTTGTACTTGATGCACAAAATTACATCATTTGCACCTAAGTGGGTCACTACAGGCTATTGTGTCCCTGTCGTTGCGCGTGCGCAGACCAAATTACTTAATAGATATCGCATAGCGACTATAAACATAACGAAGCACAATGGCATATTATCATTTCATTATGCGCGTTTTTATCAACGGCCCGACCCGAGCGACGAATTTGTTTTTGTACGATTTAATCATTCCGATAACGGTACTTATTATCGTCAGTGGCGGGGCAACAACTCGCGAACCGGTCGCGTGTAGTAATTATAACAATTTACATCGAGATGTTGAAACTATTCAAAGGGGTACGACGCTTGAAGATACAAAATCGGCGATACACCAACGCGACCGTCATTGGCAGCGAGGCGAATAGAAATGACCCCTACTACCAGGAGAATAAGGCGAGAATGGACGAGCTGGTGCAAGAGCTGCGCCAGAAAACGGACGCCGCCGTCAAAGGCGGACCCGACGAGGCGATAAAAAGGCACACGGCGAGAGGAAAATTGCTCGTGAGGGACAGGATTAACCGGTTGGTGGACGAGGGGAGTGATGTTTTAGAACTGAGCACGCTAGCAGCCGACGACATGTATAAAGGTCAGGTGCCGAGCGCCGGAATCGTCACCGCGATCGGCAAGGTTCACGGTCGCGACTGCATAATCGTCGCGAACGACGCCACCGTTAAGGCCGGAACTTACTTTCCTATCACAATTAAGAAGCATTTACGTGCGCAAGCGATAGCTCAAGAATGCCGTCTTCCGTGTATTTATCTCGTCGACTCGGGCGGAGCGCATTTGCCGGACCAAGCCGAAGTGTTCCCAGATAGAGAACATTTTGGTAGGATATTCTACAACCAAGCTAACATGTCCGCTGAAGGTATACCCCAGATATCCGTCGTGATGGGCTCGTGCACTGCAGGTGGTGCTTATATACCCAGTATGTCGGATGAAAGCATAATAATAAAAGAGCAAGGATGCATCTTTTTAGCTGGACCTCCATTAGTAAAGGCGGCCACGGGAGAGACTGTCTCCACTGAAGATTTAGGAGGTGCCGACTTGCATTGCCGACAATCTGGAGTGACAGATCATTACGCGTTAGACGACGAGCACTCGTTACATCTAGCCAGGAACGTAGTGGCCAATTTAAACTGGAACAGCGATCAAAAGGCGAGGATAAACCCTTCAAATGTCGACGAACCCGTTCACGATATCGACGATCTGCACGGCATTGTGGGAGCGAACATACAACGACCTTTCGACATCCGAGAAGTTATCGCCCGCGTCGTCGACGGCAGCAGGTTCCACGAATTCAAGCAGCTCTACGGCGAGACGTTGGTATGCGGGTTCGCATCTATTTACGGCCATCCCGTCGGCGTGATAGGAAATAATGGTGTACTACAATCGGAAGCGGCGTTGAAGGGTTCACATTTCATTCAGCTGTGCGCGGCGCGTAAGGTCCCGTTGCTGTTCCTGCAGAACATAACCGGTTTCATGGTGGGAAGGGAAGCCGAGGCGGGTGGTATAGCTAAGAACGGTGCGAAAATGGTGACCGCCGTCAGTTGTTTTAAGGGGCCCAAAATTACCGTTCTCGTCGGCGGCAGCTTTGGAGCGGGCAACTATGGGATGTGTGGGCGCGCTTATTCTCCTAGTTTCTTGTACATGTGGCCGAATGCTAGAATTTCAGTGATGGGTGGTCCGCAGGCGGCCACTGTTCTATCACTAGTGTCTAAAGAGAAAGCCGAGAGAGCGGGTAAAGTATGGACCGAAGAGGATGACAGAAAAGTGAGGGCGCCGTTGGAAGCTCAATTCGAAAGAGAAGGCAGACCTTATTACAGTACAGCCAGGTTGTGGGACGACGGAATCCTAGCGCCAAGAGATACGAGGAAAGTCATAGGACTAAGTTTATCAGCGGCTCTGAATGCCCCATACAGGGACAGTAAATTTGGTGTGTTCAGAATGTGAATAAGTGGTCATATTAAACATTTTCGCGTTAATTACTGTGGAATTTCGTTATCTTATCGTTATTTATAATACTGTAAGTACAATTGTTGGATGTTACTATCTCAAACTTTTAAATATAAGCCTATTCATAATTTTAGCATTATTTGTTTCCCTACGTTGGCCAATATTAATTAAATATGTGATAAAATATAGTACAAGAACTATTATGAAAAAATAATCAATCAAACGAATTGATAACATAGAGCATTTTATAATCAAATAATAATAGTCTTCGTTTAATCGTATCAAGGCATACCAACGTAAGACTCACACCCACCCACACGTTTCTCACACATACAAATTTAAACACAATTTATTTAAAATCAAAGCTCTTATATAATTTTAGTTTTTTTTTATTATAATATTTTCCATATGATATAACCGTTATTACACAGGTCGTATGAGCGTAAGAAACCAATTTTAAATAAGCTACTCAAAACACATGTTTCATAATTAACAAGCCGTCAATTGTGAACTGTCAAATCACAATGAAGTGTTTTTGACGTTTAATTAGTTGAATCGAAAGAGAACGTACCCCGCAATCACAATGGGAACAATGGTGCGATAAAAACGATATCCGCGGGTGCATTAATATGTAAATGCGCAAGCGCACCCACTACGTCACGGCCCGCGATTCACAGGTTGGCTACAACGGTTGTTTTGTCGAGAAGCCGAGTGTGTAGTTTTTGTGGCACGCTATCGTAAATATACGTTTGCGGTCTTAACTACAGCTCAATTAAGTCATCTGTGTTAGTACACAGAGACTTGAAAACTTTTGGTTGAAAGTTTATTCAAAACTTTATACTAATATATAAGGATATTATCTATTTTTTAAGGACAGACTAGCATGGCGGTCACTTGATGGTATGTAAAATACCCTAGCCATATAACATCTAATCAAGTTCGACCTATTTTGACTTTGGATATTCGAAAATCTACAGACTTAAACCAAAACGCGAATAAACTTCACGGCTTTTTCATTTGAACGTTTTAACCAACATTGCTGTGAGTTGATTAGAGCATTTATCGAGGAAGGCTATAGGCTATAAACATCGCGCTGTGACTAATAGGAGCGAAGAAACAGCGGGAAATATGGAATGAACGGGGTAAATTATTTATCCATTTGAGTTTCCGATGCGTACGCTGCGAAAAGGGTTCAAGATACCCAAAAAATGTGTATGGAAGGATGATTCTTGTTTAAATGATATAGAAAATGTCTGCGACACTATATGTCTATCCTTTAAGGTTGACTTGCAAGAACTACGGAACGCGGAAGACGTCGCGGGTCAGCTTCAATTTATATAGATGAACAAATTTGCTGCCCAAAATAATTATTCTACGCGGACGAAGTCGCTGACACAGCTAGTACACAATATACAAAACCTTACCAATGAGAACTCGAAGTAGAACCTACGAATTCAATTAAAAAACCACGAAATTACCGTCGTGCGAGATAAAAATCGAAACAAAATAAATAAACGTCCCGCCATAAGAGTCATACATCATACAGTAGATAGCGCGTGTTACATCTTTACGCTTTCCAAGCACGGTGGTCGAGCGTTTTTACTCTACATTCTTTATAAGAAACTCAAGCGTATGCGCACACTAATAACCTCCTTAATTGCAGATTTGTATGCCGAATGGACATGCCCCGCAATTAATGATTCTATTTTGTGTTGTAATCGATTACTCGGCGTCTTTTTAGGGTTCACAAGGCTAAACACGGAAGAACGTTAAAGTGTTTTATTTCAATGTTGTACCACATTGGTAAATTCTATCGCAGCCATAACAAAATAAATATTTAAGGATAACTCTCATACAACGACGCGAATATTATGCCCTTTTTGTTCGAAATGAACAGTAGTAACAATTAATTAAAAATAACAAAACGGAGAATGGCACGAAACTCTCCGTGCGTGAATCCGATTCGGACTTGGCCGGTTTTTATTAATCGAGTGTCTAGCAGTCGAGATCGATCGATTTATTGATAATTATCGATATATTATCGATAAATTGGCAATAAGTACGATATTATACGTTCCGAGTTTGTACTTTATAAGTATTTTACGTGTACGTTTGACGAGCAATTAAATAAGGCTTAAAAAAGTGAAATTCCGTTTCCTGTTCTGGGCCATGGGTCGAACACATACCTGTGTACGTTTAACTGATCAGTATCATTTAGAGGCAAGTAGTTGATCAGACTTCTGTGCTCTGCCCTACCCCGCAACAAACTATTTTCTTCCCGGGATTCGAACCAAGAACCACTTGCGCTTAACGCAATGCTAGGCAACACGTTTATTCATTTCGCTACAGAGGCAGTCAGATCAATAATATAGTAATATTTAAATATATTCCTTGAATATTTTTATTTTCTTATCCTTAACTCCTTAAGAGATGGTAGTACCTATAACGAGTTTAAGGTACGTTTCTTAAATTAGTTATTAATTATATAAATTAATCGTTAGGTACCGTTCACTCAGTTCATTCAGTAAGCCCCGAATATTAAAATTTTACTGAGTTTGAATCAGATTAGTTTTAGTGGGACAGGCAAAGAACCTGATCAACTGCTATCCCGATGTAAAAGTATAAATGAATGATATATAAAAATTATATTAAAGTACACCAACACTCATCAATAAAGAACGTGTGTGTTTAAAAACTCAATTTGTAAATGAGGCAGAGTAGCCTAATAACAAAAAACATGATTTTCAATATGGAGGAAAATAAAAATGCACAATTAACTTCGAAAATAAAAATCATTTTGTGCAACTAATATTTCTGTAAAAACTATGTTAAAAAATTAGAGTACTAAGAGTATGAAAAAATAATAAAGTCATAAAAATTACAGTTAGGAGTAGCAGGTTAGGCTACTTTGCCTCTAGCGTCCTCAAATATCATTTGAAGTATATTAATTATTATTAAAGTAATCGATTACTTTAATAATGAAAATACATTACGATGCAACAAATGAATAATCTCTCTCCTAATTTACAAAGCGTAGAAAGCAATGTATAGTGGTTAGTTTAAACAGCCGGCGGAAAACTGTTTATTTTGACGAAGAATAGTACATTCGGTATCGTAGAACGAAGATCATTGACTTTCAGAGAAAGTTGTTAATTATCTTGGCGATTGGCATCCGATTGTGCAACCGAATGTAACAGATAAAATATGACAGACTATAAATAACGTGCACTTTTGGCGGGAAAAGTAATTAAGCGTACGTCATTATTAGATGTTTTTGCATCACAGATTATATCTTGCTTATAATTGATTTTAAATTGTATCGCAACCAGTGAATAATATAATTAATTTCAATTTTTTTTCGATTTTCTCCGTCAAGATATACAGCGCACTTTTAGAACTGTTTGAGAAATTAGTATATAAATTCTGAAATATGTAGTTTTAATTTTAGAACATCTAAACATCTCTGTCGGCCTTTTTTTGCTTTAGATATTTGGAAATCTACAGACTGAATCCGAAACTCGATTAAACTTGACTGCTTTTTCATCTGTGGTGTGTGTGTCGGTTCGGTCCACAGATACCACAGTGTATCTGTGGACCGAACCGACGACCCATTAATAACAAGCCATTGCTACCATTAAACTAAGGAATCAGTCAAAATGTTTCTTAATACAACATGGATACCGTCTGGGTGTAACTGTGTTTTAGGAGTAAAAAATATTTATAACTTTAAAAACTTTAAGTTTTTAAATTTATAAATATTTAGTTTTTACGTTACAAAAACCGGTAGTGATTTTTTTAGCTTTTATTCATTAAGGAACATCATTTGATTGATTACAATGTGTCAGAGAGAAAAAGCATTTAACATTATAAAGTATGCCTCCGTCATAGTTTTTGCTCTCAAAATTAAGACCTCACAATCGTCATTAACGTAAAGTAGATAGCGATTTATATTCAATTAATTACGTATCAAATTAATCGATTGATATATTGACCGAGATATTTGTAATCTGTTGCGTGTGGATTTACCTGTACATTTGCGTTTTAAAATATTTGAATTGATTAAATCAAATGAAGTAGAAATATCATGTTTAAATACCGGACCCCTTCGTTCAATGGTAGCAATGTATGGCCGGTGATCAACTAGACGTGACTTCAATCACCATCAGGACCAACGTGTTTGCAAAATCAATAAATAACTTTTGACTTCTGAATATTAACACTTTCACTTGATGGTAGAGGAAATACCCCAGCCGTATAACAACTAAACAAGATACGCTACTTTGGCTTTGTATGTTCGGAAATCCACAGACTAAAACGTGATTAACCTTCCCGCATTTTTTATCTGTAGTTTACTTTATTTGTTATGCATAGATATAGAATTCTATTCCTAAACAGTAAACACCATAAAATTAGTAATGGATAACACATCTAATAAGTATTAACATACAAAGCGCACCTGTGCTTCGGGACTAGAAATGTCCAGCAATTGCTTATTTAAATAACAAAACAGTGCATCTATTTATTCTGTGGAATTAATTTTGTAATTTCTAGTACTGATCTAAGCGATGAAGGTACCGGGAGATCATAAGAAATGAGAAATATAGCTATATTTTAATTACGCTCGGTAAATTCGTAGATAACTCTATGAAGGAAGTAATGACGTAGATAATTACATTGAAAATATAGTTCCAACTGTTTTAAACGAGAAGTTTACTTGGTGCTTAAATTTCAAATTTTGACCCATATAAATAAAATCCGTACGGGCCGAGCTAAATAAAACCGTTTAATGAAGGTTTTTTTGAAATTTATTTATAGAAAACAAATGAATGTGAGCATATAAAGCCTTCAGAGCAACCTTAGAGCGTAATTTATCAGTATTGACTACAAGTCCTACACAAAGTTACACCTCTTTATGCAACATCGGCGTTTGCCAATTAAGGCCCGCCCACAGATCGGCGCTATAAAGCCTAAACGATTATCGGATTCACAGGTTTCTA